CCACTGTTTTAGAACATACTGAGTGTATTAGGACTCCCAGACCATCTGTCTTTAGAGTAGTTGCCTCTTTTTCTGGAATTTCCTGGTGACCCTCAACAAATAGAGTGTTTCCTATTCATAGGAAAATGTGAGCTTGGTTTAAGAAGATGCAGAAGCTTTCTGACTTCAGTTTGGAGTTTTGCACAGCCCTGATGTTCATGGTTGGGTCTATGTGCAGAAGAGCAAAGCTATCACCCATAGAGTTCAAGATATACAAGCCTGTATTGTACTGCTTCTTGGAAGGACAGCTACTGACACAAAGTGAATATACCAGCCACAATCTAAAACGTTTTAGACATCTCTGGGCCAAGCTGAGCTAGGACGAGCTGTGGCTTTTTTCAACATTTTTACACGTCGCAAAACAATATATTTTGGTCATCTATGAAGAATGAATTATAGGCAGGCACAGAAATGATTAATCTCTAACAGCAATTCAAAGAAAAGGAATGTTTCTATCGTTCTCTTGAAGTAGAATTTGTTTTTTGGAATGATTCCACATAGCCAAGTTCAAGAGATGGAAAATTACTGCTCTCATTCTCAACCAACTTCATCCTATCCTAATATAGCCATTGTTATGAAGACAATTCAGAGTAAGGACAATAGATGCTGTCCTCATTTGACACTGCAATATCATATATTAAGGACATGATCCCCACTGAGTTGCTTGCAAGTATTATCCCAGCTAAGGGGATAAAAAGAGTTACTTTTTAGAAAATCAAGAAAATTCCAAATTAAAAAAAGTATAAAACCATGATAGGAAAACAAACAATCATAAACAGTTAGTAAACAGAATCTTGAAAAAATGAACCACAGGCTATTCATTATTCCCCCATTCATCCACCCACCCACCTGGTGTCCCTTTTATATGGAAGTTTTTTTCCTGAGTTTTACAGTTTTACAGTTTTACAGAGCCTTCTCTGTGGTTGCTCCGACCCTCTGGAACGAACTCCCCGTGGAGATTCGAACCCTCACCACCCTCCAGGCCTTCCGCAAGGCCCTTAAAACCTGGCTGTTCCGACAGGCCTGGGGCTAAAGAGCTGTTGCCCCCGTCTCGAATGGTATGACTCTTGTATGTTTTTAAATTATGCATTGTTATGCTTTGTTTTAAAAAAATAATTTTATTTTTTTTGTCTGTATTCCCCTTCCCTGGTTAATTTGTGAGCCGCCCTGAGTCCCCTTCGGGGGAAAAGGGCAACATATAAATGTAATAAATTAAACTAAACTAAACTAAACTAAGTATATGTTCCATTTCTGTAAGGAGCTTGTGTACTGTCTGATGTAATTTCCAGATTCATGTAGCAACTTGGGAGACTCTGAGGAAGACTAAAGTCACATCTACATAACCCATCTGCTGTGGCATAAGGACAGCTCACTTAACATTCGTGGAAAGCATGGCTGTACTTCATACTGCGGTGCCCATCTTGTACCAGCTAGGCACTCAGGGTACGACAAAGTCTAGCTGAGGTACTCCAATATGAAAACAGTCTTTTTCCTCTCGCAGTGGCATAGTGCTAGCTATGTCAATACTGATATGCACATGGATGCAGAGTAGCGGTGAGATTCACTTATCTTCCCTACTGGTTCGTAAATGTGAGCATATGTGCATCTGCACATGTGCATTGCCGTGTGCACTGCTCATGCATTCCGTTGGGGTGGGTGAGCGGAGCCTGAACTGGAGAGAACTGGCTGATCACCACCTCTGATGCAGAGGTTAGCCCTGTGACCACGTCTAAGACTATTCCTTCTTACATAGATCATATACATATCACTTCTGCCCATCATTCACTGATTATATTGTAGTTGTGACTTGATTGCCTGGTCTCTGATCTCCAGGTATCATCATTGCCAATGTTTAAGAAAGCTCCTCCTCTTAAATATTATTCACAATCAGGATTTGTCTGAATTTTTGCAGTCCAGATTTGGTAACCCTAAAGAAGACTCCAATGATATAATGGCATAATCTCTTCATACTCTGATGCAGTTCTATTGCTCACCAACATGACTAATTCAGGGGAAGTGAAACCTACACCAGAAGGTAATTACTTACATGGATCTTCAGAGAATTTCCTAAAACATCTGCCAATTTAACCTCAAATGTGGTTCTCACTTTTATGGAAATTCATCTAGTTCTTGGTTTATCTTCCTCTTCCTTTAAGCACAATCTTCTTCTTTCTGTTTAATGGACTCATTTCAGGGTTGACTCAAGGCCAAATTATTTAAAATAGACTCTCTACTACAGTTCTGCTTAGGTCCAATATAACACTAGCTGATCATGATTTTAAGTAGGAAGGTTGTTAGAGGTTTTATCATTAGCAGTGTGAGTTTTCAGAGAACTCTCACCATCATCTTCTTGTAATCATTTTAAGAATGCTTTATGGTATTATTTTTCAAACTATTAATCATGACTCGTTAACAAGGAATATGTGGGCTAGAAATTGTATTGATAAATAACCATTATCAAGAACACTGGGAATTGCCACTGCTCTGACTTATACATTGTGCTAAACTGTGTTTTGCTTAAGCCTAATTTATTGAATAAGTTTTAATCAGTTGGGTTCGTCCAAGGTATAAAGACCAACTCTCCAAGCAGCTTTAACTATAAGTGTGCAAATCCAAAAAAGCATTACCTTTGAAGATTACTATGAATTAACTGAAAACAACATTGTTTGAAAGAGCCTTTCCTATTCACTAAATAATTAAATATTGCATGTAATACTGAACATTCTCTCTCTCTCTGCTATTTGATATGGCTTTGTATTTTGGACTTTATTTCAATTAATTTATATACTGTATTTTTATTGCTCATTTAAAAGTTTCCAATGTTTGCTCATTTTTTAAAATTTCTAATTTTGTATTTTTGAACTTTTAAAGGTACAAAGGCATGATAGCACATCTTTCAGCAAAAAAAGCACACTAAATTGTCTGCCTGAAGAAGTTATTTTTTCCTTATAACATAATAATTGAATGTTTTATTTTATTTCTATTCTGATTGTCATTGAATTGTCAATTCTCACTCTAAAACAACCTGCAGAATGAATCACACGAAGCACTAGCTACCAGAATATTTTTTTACTTTATATTTAAAAATATAAAATATGATCTAAAGATTAATATAACTCTTAATAGATTAAGCACTGACCCATATATGAACTTTTCCAAAGATTACAGTTATTTTGAATTATGCCTCAGGTCATAATTATGCGTCTGAGAATGTTAACTTCTCCTGTATCGCTTACCTCAACCAAAGGAAATTTCATTAGAAAGACAGCCAATAAGTCCATCAATTAAATAGGCATACATACCTTTAAAAATTCCAACAAATATGTTAAAACATTGTAGATAATAGAAAAATGCATATGATGTCATATGTGGAAAAAACCCTCCCACTTTGCCATGGACTTGATTTTAATCCCAAACTTTGGGGAGATTTATTTATTTATTTTAAAATATTTCTATATTTGCTCATGGAAGAGCAAAACTGATATATGAAATAAAAGAAACAATTAATAAAACCAACATTAAAACAAAAACCCAGCAAAGCACTTGTTAAAAATGCACAGAAGTCACAGTTCAGATAAAATCTCAGTCAGAACAATCAAATGCATTCTTGTTGTGAATAAATTGTTTTTGAAGTCTTTCTTGCAAATTGGCAGTTACGAATGCTTGACAAACTTTAGGCAACAAAATATGAAAAGGATTCTGGAAAAGGGCTCATTTTAGAAGCACAGATTTAGTTAAGACCAGAAAGTGTAGGCTGGAAAAATCTAGACAATCACTAAGAAGTAAGCGTGGAATTAAAGTTTTCTTGTATCTCTTTGCTTAGTGGCAATTCAGACTTTTGCAGCCCAATTCTGATATCCCCAAATATCATAGTACATAGTGCATAGTACAATTCTAGGTATGTTTCTTCAGAACTGTTGCAATTGGTTCAACAATGATTAGCCTGAACAGGATTGGAGCTTGAGAAAGAGGGCTCTTCACTTAAAATATTGAGGCTGGTAACATGTCCTTATTGAGAAATAACCACAATTCTGTACAATGGAACACATTTCGAAAATGGATAAATATTATATAATTTCCAGACAGCTTAGATGTGAGAAAACTGGGTCTTCGGTATGCTATGAAAACTTCACATTTAAACCTAAGTACCAACATTGCTCTGCCTTCAGAATGAAGGAAACGAAAGGAAATTACTGCACCTTAGTATGAAAGTAAGGCTTACTCCTAGGTGTCTCGGCGTATAATTTAAAAAATACAGCTAAAATTGCAGTCAATAAGATACTGGGAGGATACAATACATGACTGAACAGAACAAACCTTGTAACTGGAATTTACTTAACAGAAATGTTGCCTAGATTTTGGGCCATTTGTTTCTAAAATAGGTTCTAGAATCTTTTGCTCCTTATGATGCAAAGTGGCTGGGCCATCGGTATTGTACACTTTCAGGAAAGAGAGCACTTGAGATATTAACACTTTATACACAAGGCACTCTTCATGTAAATATAGCTTCCACCTTCTGTTTAAAAATAGAAGATTTTAAAGAGCTCATTCAGGCCCCCTATGCAGCCCAGCTAAATGAATTAGCTACTAAGGGCCACAAGCAAGTGCATTTTTCGGATGAATTATTTTGAGATTTCATGAAGATCTGAAGCATATCATTCGCATTAGGAAATGCACTAAAACAAAAAGGGTTGCAGCTTTTAAGAGGCACTAAAATGTTTACTGTAGTTGTAAAAATTGTCACCTCTTTCTTAAATTTCAGACTGTTTGATCTGGCATCTAGAAAATGGAGTACTGCATAGCTAATTGCAGAATGCACACATACATACATAAACACACATACTAAGTTCCTGCCAAATTGAATTGCTTGGGACCCACAAAGAAGCATGTATTTGATCTTTCAATTTTCATTTATTAAGAGTTTACATGCTGCCTTAAGAAATTTTGGAAGTTTAACTTACCAGATGCTGACCGGACAATGGTAATGACCCAATGCTTGTAATTGCTCCCTAATTGGCAAAGTTGTCACTTCTCGTGTGGCAGCTGCAGTGCATTTAGAAAACGTGGAGGGAGAGTGTTCCAAATGACTTAAGAAAGAGAACAGGAACAATCAATTCATTCTGGGTTTTTTTCTTCTTTTCTCAGATGAGTTCTGTACCTTCAGAAAGAAGGAAGGAAGGGAGGGGAGAGGAAGTCAACAACCCTTAGCTTTCCTGCAAAAAAATAAGGAAACGGCAGATAGCCATCTCATTTTCTCAAAATGTTTGGAAAAATAAACCAAAGGAAAAGAAATTCCTCAAGTATTATATCTTTATGATGGATTTCATAGGGTGAAATTTATAATTCAATGGATGGAATGTCATCAAAACAAACACAATGTTCCAAATACAGAGCCTTGTTTTGGAAGTCAGATGCCCGTATCTGCAAAATGCTGCTTGCTTAAGAATATAAACAATGAGAGAGAGAGAGAGAGAGAGAGAGATGTGACAGCCACTCCACCTTTCCTACACACAGTTGAAATACCATTCTCAGTATCCATTAAAGTGTACATAAATGTGTATAAAGAGATAAATGTGTGTATAGAAAGAAAAAGGTGTTTTGTGATAATTATAAGCCAGAGTTACATATGTTACCATTCAGTAATTTTCTATTAATTTTTCTGATCTGGAACTTCCAGAAGCACCAATTATATTGAAAAACTGAAATGTAATTAGGACAACACTGAAAAGTATCTATTGGAAAGAAAGCTTGGCTCTAGAAATTCAGATTATTCCCTATCAAGCTCTACTTCTCTTAAAAGAGAAATTGGCAGTGCTAGATATCACATACAAAGCCTTATGGTATATGGTTCAGCCCTAGAAAGCCTCTTGAAGATTTAACTGCAAATCTTTCTGTAACATATAGATGATGCATCTGTCAAAGGACAGGTGCTTGCTGAAGGTCCTCACCTATCAGGAGATGTGACAGCAGGGAGCCAAAAGAAGACATTCTTTTGGAGAGGCTCCCTTGCTTTGAAACAAGTGGCCCCCCAACTGGCCTGCTAGGACTTGTAAACACATTACTGCAGAAAGCCTTTGGGCCTTAGGTGCTATAGGACTCCCAGTTACAGGAATAGCATACAACTTGTAATTTTTACTATAACTTTATTGTGCATTTCTGTTTTGTGTGTTATTATATTGTAGATTTAGAGCAACATTAACCGAAATGCTTTTAAAATTCATTACTAAATGAATGGATATGTTGACTATGGTCTATACATAACCCTTGAACTGCAACTATTTCTACATCTCCAGATGATGGTGATAGCATGAAGTACATTTTCAAAACTATATTTAGAGTTTTAGCTGTTTCCATTCATAGACTATTGCAATTCACTCCGCATAGGTCTTGCCTTGATGAAAGTACAGAATTTTCATATAACACAAAGACAGCAATCCAAAGAAAGCACGGTGATGAGATCAAATCATGCGATAATGAAAAATCTGGTTTGGTTGCTCATTGTTGTCTTAGCACAAATCACAGGATTGTAGCCGTTAGAATTTAGATTGTGTAGGGATTGACTAGCTTATAGACTACTACTCCAATTATAATCTTTTCTGGGCACTTAAATACTCAGTGGAGTATTTATCTATCCATCTATTTGTATTTTCAAAGGTCTTTCGTTCAGCACTTGGTAGACAGATTTCGCCTATCTTCCTTCCAAATTATAAAACATATTCTTGTGATCTTTCTAAACTCTGTTAACAGTAGCAACAACAATAACACTTACATGTATATACTGCTCCATAGTGCTTTACAGCACTCTGAATGATTTACAATGTTAGCACATTGCCCCCAACAATCTGGGTACTCATTTTACCTCATTTTACCTTTCTTTTAGGAAATAAAATTTACCTCTTTAGCCAGGGATTTAAATATGTTTTGGTTTAATTTTAATAGTGATGTATTTGGTGTGTGTGTGTGTGTGTGTGTGTGTGTGTGTGTGTGTGTGTGTGTGTTGGATGGAATGGTGGAATATAAATGAAATAAATACAAATGATATAAATCTAAAAATATATTTCATATAGTCAAGACTATGGGATATGCAAGAATGACTACTAGAAATAGTTTCATCTTCCTGAAAGTCCAGTGAGTTGCCACCACTTTAAAATTAGTTCATCTTCACTTCATATGGAGTAATCAACTTCAAAGCAGGATAGGCCCTTAGACAGAACAGTTACGTACATAGGTCAGTGATGGCGAACCATTTTGGCACCGAGTACTGAAAAGGTCAAGCGGAAATGTTGTGTGCATGCGCGTGCGCTCATTGGGGCTGCACTCTGGAAAAGCCAAACTTCCTGGTTCTAGTACACATGTGCACCCGATGATCAGCTGGCCGCCGTGCATGAACTGCCACATATGCACTGCCACACATGCACTGCCAAACATGCAAAGGGACCACGCTCTGGAAAAGCCGGACTTCTGGATTCTGGCGTGCATGCACGCCCAACAATCAGCTGGATGGTGCACATGTGCATACTGGTTTTTGGCACTGCTGTACGTGCGAAGGACAGTTGATGGTCATGCACGCATGCATGTCAGAAACCTAGAAAACCATGCCTGCCAGGCAACATGGCTTCATGTGCCATAGTTCACCACCATAGACATAGGTGAACATCAGCAGAGCTCTTCAGTCTGTAGCATTTCCATATCCAAAAGGAGAAAACAAGTGTAAAGGGTATTTTTTTTAGCATAGTTTGCTTAACTTGCACTGTTGAATAGAACATTTTCCAGAATCATACATGGGGTGGATGGAGCAGAAAGAATAGAGACAGAATTAGGGATACTTAACACAGGGGTTTTTAAGTATACCTTTTCTCCATAATGATTAGGATGATTGTGAATAAATATACCCCATTTTATTTTATACCAAGCAGCTCTAGCTCTTTTTAAAAGCAAAATCAGAATCTTTATAAATAGAAAAAAGAAAGGAAACAGAGCCTTTGGGAAGTAGCTATGGCTATCATTTTTTTCCTTTGATAAGCTAGCTTTCCAGAACTAGTAGGATTCTCATAAAAAAGGAATATTTAATCTCATGGTTTTGTCATGTTTCTTTTCAAGACTGTTGAATAGATAATGGTTTTTTAATCTTTAAAGTTGTTCACTGCATGAAACCAGGGTTAGAATATAAATACTAGAACATGAAAAAATGTGGACTATAAGACAGAAATGGCAGTTAAAGTGGAAATACAAATGATAAGCCAAGAGAATGACTTGCATAGTTAATCCTTATTGGTTTTACAAAAGAAGTTTGTTAAAACTTTGAGAAAGATTCTGAGATGGAAAAAAATGTGAAGAGAAATCAAATCCTACAACAATATCTGAATAAAATAAATATTCCTGGAAGTAAAAGGAAGGAATACAATGTTGGTTTATTTGACCAATGCTAAAGAGCATTGGTCAAATAAGACATGTTTCTATAGAATTCTAAGAACTCTTTATGAACTTTTGCAGACACCAGGAATGAAAATATTAATGATTCATAGATTGGCATATGGATAATGGTTTATAGATAAGGTGACCAGATTTTCAGATTGGTAAAGAGGGACACCTTTGACCGGTTCAGGTTGAGCGATGGGAGAAGACCCCCCAGCCGGCTGCCCAGCCAGGAGGCCTCTCTGGCTCAACAGGCAGCCGGGCTGCTGATCCGGG